TTTTACTGTAGAAACACGTTTTGTTAAAGTAAATAGCTTTAATCTGATAAACCTACAGCTCAGTTAAAGCAGCTCAGCTGAATGTTTGTCCAGCAGATGGTGCTGTAGGTCTGCACCAGTGAGTCTCCTCAATGTTTGTAGTTTTCAGGCCACATTTTCATATTAATGAATACAATAAACACGCGATACATACATGTGAACATGTTACAGTGGATTAAATCAACATGACTAATGCTAATTATCCACTCATGTGAGTAAAATCACTGAAAAAAAAGAAAAAAAAAAGAGATCAGGCTGGCCTCGTCCTCTTTAAGAGCTTTGAAACTTTTAATGGACTTCAGTGGCCTGTATTGATATTCAGAGTTTCAGGGCAAACGGCTTAAAAATCTAAATGGTGCTACACGAACTGACTATCATTAAATAAAAACGTTCTAGACTGCTAGAGAAACAAACTCACAGCAGTGCTTTAGGTGGGCTGTGGTGTAGCTATGGTAACAAGCAGCACAATAAAGAGACAGTGGTCACATTTCACCTCAGTCACGTTGACCTGCCGTCTCCAGAAGCAGTAAGAAAGTGCTGAAATTTGATAGATCTACCAACATGCACTGTGTGATCGACGTATCGGGCCCCTCTGCTGTGTAGCTGACAGTAATGTTGATGCAAAGTTACAGTGATTATTATAATATAGAATTATTATAGTGATGGTTAAAGTGATGAGAACTTCAGCTCACTTTAATCTGAGCACTTCATCAGTTTCAGTCAATCTAACCTCAGATTAAGGGATGAGGATGATGATGATTTGCTAATACTTTATTGAGGAGCAGAGTTCATAAGGCCTCATGACAGCTGACATAAATGTTTATGTAGATCTTTGTCAGCTGTCATGATTACCTTTTGTAGGTGTCGTGTAGTGTTATGATCTTCTGTAAGTAACTTATTTAATTACCAACAACAATTGATTCTTAGATGCATCACCATTCATTCCAGCACTCTGGCTCTCATTGGTGCTTGGTGTTCGGGTGCTGGACATCTGCTCCTCTCTGCTGCCCTCATCTGCACTCATGATTCGGCCACTGGGCTCATGAGAGAGTGGGAGCATGAGGGGGGAGGAAAAGAGGAAAGGAGGAAAGGAGGAAAGGAGGAAGGGCTGACACTGGACCTGAGCAGGGGCCTGGGGGGGAGGAGCTCCCTGCAGTCGAGGACCAGGGACGGGAGGAGAGAGAGGGATGGAGTGAGGGAAAACACAGGAAGAAGGTGAGGGCATCAAAAGACAGGCCTCCAACTCCTCACTGTGCTGTTCAGCCTCCTGAAGCAGGTCCAGCCTGTGGAGGAGAGACTGGATGACGTCATCACATCAGACTGAAGCCCAGAGACGCGAGAAGGTGATTTAAGTTGAGGTGCTGATATGTTAAGTAGTGTATATGTGACCTGAACTCTGACGTTACGCTCTTTTCTATGGTTTTTATATCAGAACGAGTCAAGCAGTGCTATAATGATAAAGGATACCTATAACTGACACATCAAACCCCTGACGCACATCCTCTCTCTGCTCTCTCATTCTGGATGAACTTTATGGAAATGAGCTGAGTGGTGACCAATCAGACTGTTGATATGTGTTACAGCCTCAGTCACACACTGAGATTTAACACTGGACCACACAGAGCAGGAGATATAACGACTGATAGATCACCATCAATACATCATTTAAAAGTTATAATAATACCATAAGGCTGCTTTGACCTCTGACAACAACACGTTTTAGAATGAACTTTTGGTTTGGAAATGGGTGTAAAATGACTTTCTACTCTATCAGGGTCGAGATCTCACTGTTATAAAGGTTAAAGTAACAGTTATAGGTTAAAGGTTATAAACTCTTATTTTGACCTACAGCAGAAAGATGATCATTATTATTATTATATTAAAATCATAATTTGTAATCACGAGTTTCAAATGAACTGTCGCCTAAATGATCAATAACACTGCTCTACACCAGCGGTGTGGATTACTACAGCTAAATGCCTGAACATTTGGACCACAGTCCATTGTAAGTGAGTGTGAGTGGGCGTGGCCCTGTGGTTGTAGTGGGCGGGGCAGTCAAGAGTAGAACTAGATATTCTGTAAAAGCTGTATAATGTAGAGTTTATTAATCTGAGACTGTAAAAAGTAAGGGATCATCACCAATCAGTAGATGTAGTTTATAATCAGACAGTATGAAGTGTTTAACTGTGGATTTTCCTCTTCTCTAAAATATTTCTCCATCTCGACCCCTGGAGGATTTTAATTATTCATGCTTTAAACCATATATGAATGTTTCATTATGTACATCAATCTATAAATACTGTGAATTTTAATGCAAAGGACAGCTGTCAGGGCGTCACACAGCCCCTGGGCTCAGAGGTCTCTAAGGACACATGATCCTCAGACCTCCACCTCGCTCCAATCACCGCTCTCTGTCTCCTGAGTATTACCTGGTACACCTGTTCTGGTATGATTAGCTTAGTATAAAGCCCGGGCTTGTAGACTAGTTCATTGTGAGGTGTTGCTGCTTGTTCTAAGAGCTACTGAGTGTTATTCATCTGTTTTCTGTGATTTTTCTGGGTCTGACTGTGTTTTGGTATTTTGACTTTTGCCCTTTTTGCCTTTGCCCCTTGGACTCTGTTTGCCAGGTTATGTTGGTGTTTTCAGTCTTTTGTCATTTCTGGATTTGACCTTTGCCTGTTCTCTGAGCACGTTTTTGGATCACGATTCTAACATTAAAGCCTCACTTTCTCTTTTTATCAGTGAGTGTCTGAGCTATTCTGTCTCGTTACACAGGGTGGCTGCTTTGAGGAATTCAAAATAAGCTCATCTATTTATTACTTTTAGATGTACTTTGAAATATTTGATGATATCCTTTATTTATTGTGTTTCTACTGTGTTTTCAACCACATTAGCTCACATTTACAGACTACTTACGATCCTCTGTTTAACGTGTAGAGGTTAGCAGTGTCTGCTGTTAGTCTGGAAGTGGATCATTTGTCCTTCTATCAGGATCACTGGAGGTTCTCTGCAGCATCGACATGGTTTCACCAACGTTCTCCACATTACCACATGGTGACCCACAACTTCTGGAACCTGAAATCAACATGTTTATTGACATGTTAAAGTAAATAAACAGGTCAGTTCATTCTCTGAGAATCTGGAATAAAGATGAAATGCCTTCAAACGCCTGAAATGCCTCTGCTGTGTAAAGACTCTGTAGGATCCTCTAAAATACACACTCTGATACTCTTCCAGTGTCACCATTAAAATCACCATTAACGTTGCCAGTGCTGCTCCTGTTTGATCCACTGATTCTCCTTCCTGAAACAGACACAGTCAGGCCACATCACAGCTGAGTTACAGTGGACGCTCATTAATTAATTACAAATATCACTCATATTAAATGGGTTTAATATGGAATATTATTACCTGAGTCAGAAACAGAGACAGAAGCACCAGCTGTAGTGATAAATAACATAAACCATGCATTAAAATTGAGTTGGAGATTCAATTAACTTAAATTAATTTAAAGCTTTAAGCTTCAAAATAAGCTGCTGCTTTTAAACCTTGCACTGTGTAAAATCAAAGGTCTCATTTAATAAAATTGGAGTAGAACATGTTCTCATGTTCTATATCTGTGTGTAAAAACTACCAGCACACCCTAGAAAACATATTCATCAAATCCTACACTGATCTGCTGATGCACACATTTACATAAAGACACGCCCATAAATACCCAAACACAGCAAACTTAAACTCCCTTTAAAATCCCCAGTGGCCTCTGAATCAGAGGACCAGCTGAACTGAAATGTGGTGTCTAAAAAATGTAGCTCTTACATTCAGTTCAGCTGAAATAGATGATGATTAATGGGAGTTTGTGCATCTCATAACGACTTTACCAGTGATTACACTTCTCCACCACTAGGGGTTTCTGCATTCAGAGTCAGGATTAGGTGTAAATACACACACATGCACAATCACATTAAACTAATGTGTTCATGCTCGGTTGGATGTAAACGCTAATTTTGATTTCCTGCACTTTTATTAAGATGTAAAAATGTATTACAAAGTTAGTCGAGTTGCAAAGATTTGCCATTTATGCTCAAGTCAGGAAGCTAGAGGTGGGATAAAAGATGATTAGTTGTAAATAATGATAATCTTGTAATTATTAATCAAGTAATTATTGCTCTGAATAATTTATTAAATGAATTGATTCTTATAAAAAATAGCTGAGAAACAGCTTATTTGTAGTGCTGAAGCTGCTGTTGTTGTTGTTTTTGCCCAGTGACAGAGAAAAGAGAGTTTAGCACATACATTCACAGTCACAGTCATGGTTTAATATCACAGTCCTGGTTTGATGTCACAGAGCTGAGAGGACGAGCTGACCACGAGTTCAAATCACACAGTTTCCAATGAAGCAGGAAGATTTTACATCAGATTTGTATGACAGTTCTTTGTAGATAAGCTGTGAAATTATCCACCCCATCAGCACAAAGTGCTGGCATTAACGTGTCTAAATCTGACCCAGAGTGTCGTGTCCAGCTGCACTGGAATATCTGGCCGGATCCAAAATTTGTCCTGGGCAACATTTACGGCATATTTTATAACACCATTGTACTGGTGGACTCTGAAGGTCGTCTTCTAGAGTGAAAGTTCTGTTCCTGGTTGTTTATATGCAGCAAAAGCTCTGACGACCACTGACAGCCAGCAAATCACAAGATAGTCCCTGTTGTGTCCAGCCTCTTTCTGCTAACACAGAGATGATGTACAAACCAGGTTCTAGACAATCAATTGGGGCAGAGTTTTCCCCTGGTGGCACCTCAAAATCAGACTCAGCAGTGCTGCTGGAGTTTTTAAACACCTCAGTGTCACTGCTGGACTGAGAATAGTCCACCAACCAAAAATATCCAGCCTACAGCGTCCTGAGGGCAGCGTCCTGTGACCACTGATGAAGGACTAGAGGATGACCAACACAAACTGTGCAGCAGCAGATGAGCCATCATCTCTGACTTTACATCTACAAGGTGGACTGACAAGGTAGGAGTGTCTAATAGAGTGGACAGTGAATGGACACAGTGTGTAAAAACTCCAGCAGCACTGCTGGGTCTGATCCACTCAGACCAGCACAACACACACTAACACACCACCACCACGTCAGTGTTACTGCAGTGCTGAGAATGATCCACCACCCAAATAATACCTGCTCTGTGAGGGTCCATGGGGGTCCTGACCACTGAAGAACAGGGTAAAAGGGGGCTAACAAAGTATGCAGAGAAACAGATGGACTACAGTCTGTAACTGTAGAGCTACAAAGTGCACCTATACAGTAAGTGGAGCTGATAAAATGGACAATGAGCGTAGAAACAAGGAGGTGGTCAGAATGTTATGTCTGATGGGTGTCAGTACAAAATGACCTTCATCAGAATGTATTTACTACTTTCAATAATTCAGTAAGATTTCAGATGAAGGAGAATAAGAAGATCATGTAAATGTTTCTCAGAAAATCAGACTGTGATGTCAGACCTGATTGTTGTCTAAATAAAGATTATTTTTCTTTGGTCAGATGAGATGGAAGTCCATTTTTAAAGTGTCCTCTTTCTGCATTAAACAGAATCTGAATATAATCTTCAGAATATGATCACAGTTTATACTCACCAGCTTTCTGCTTCTTTTTCAGGAAGAAGATGACGACTCCAACCAGCACAGCCAGCACAATCACACCTCCAATAGCCAAGAACAGATGGATCGGGGGGTGAGGACGCTCTGCAGACAGAAAAGTGATGAACAAAAATCTGAGTTACCTTTTTTCAAATGATAAAAACAGTTTTTGCAACAAAAGTTTTCAGGTGGAAAACATGAACTGTAAGAACAGCAGATGTAACTCTGAATCTAATGTATGGCCTCCTCGTCTACGATTAATCTGTACAGAAATCTTATTTTGACTGCATTACGCTACAGAAATCAACTAGTGTTTCAGCAGAGGAGGTCCAGATGAGAGGGATGCATGAACTTAGCTTTTGTTATGTTGTTTTGTGTCCCAGTTTCTGTGCTGCACAAAGTCAAATCCAAGCCTAGCAGAGCCCAGCACAGCATGTGAGTGTGTAATGCATCTTTACTGACCTGCCACCTTCAAAACATTACAGCCCAACACCTGATCTGACCAGTTTAACTGCACAGCATCATTTCCATCCCATAAAACTACTGACGATGAATCGCACTCAGGACCCCTTGATTCACCCAGAAGTGCTTAAGCTGGTTGACCTGGCTGAGAGAACGCTACCCTCAGGGTCTCTTTCTGTCCCCATTCTACACAGACTTTGTCCAAGCCTAACACGTTCACTACATATGAAAAGTATGAGGAGTTATGTATATTTGCCCCTTATTTAGTGTATAGTCACAAAGGTATGGGAGGGGTTAGTGGACAATGTGTCATTATTACCCATAAATCCACATCTACTGATTAAAGTGAGCCATATTTTGAAGTTCCGTGTCATAAGCAGCCTAATGCAGTCGAGAAGGTAATTATAGGTCTGGTCTCTGTAGATCTGCTGTTCTGTTTAGCAGTGTTTACAGTTTCACTAAGCAAAGAAAAACAGAACGCAGAATGACTTAAGAATGCCAAGAATCAGAAATCTAATTACCCCATTTTACAATTACTGGTTTGTTGATGGAGCTGTGAGTCACAAAACAGTCATAATCTGCTGTTTCATTCTCCTGGATCTCCACACTCTTCCTCAGCTGGTAGTTTCCATCTTCATTGGGTCTGACTCCTGAAGATTTTAGTAGATGTTGAGGCAGTGAAGTGGTGAACTTCCTCAGTTTAATCTCCACGTCTTTGGGGTAGAAGCCTGTGGCCAGGCAGGTCAGGGTCAGCTTCTTCAGGTCAGTTACAGATTTCTTCACAAACACATAAACAGTTGGTGGAGCTACAGAGAAAACAAATAAAAAATACACATTTATTTCAGTTAGTTTTTACCACACTTTCCCCCAAAGTGATTCATAATCAATTCTCTCCTGCTGCAGCTGACAGTCTGTAAGTGTGAGAGCTGACAGGAGCTCCCTCTGTGACATCTAATCACACCATATCACCATCTCTGTTCAAGCTCCCACTCACACAAGTGCTTCAAACAGCAGACTGAGAAATCCGAAAGAAATCAGAGTAAGAGTTCACATACACTGAGAAATCTGATTACTGAGCTAAAATCCAGCCTCTTTATCAGATTTCTTAATCAGATTTCTAGATCAGAGTGTGCTGTTTAGATGACCATTTAAATAATTAGATAACTGCAGAAATCTGATAATGATCTGATTATTGAGTGTAATGTAAACGCACTCATAAACAGTAATTGTGATTAAAATCATGAACGGCTGATTTGAAAACCCAGAAACTAACCAGTAGAACCAGTTCAGAAAGAGGTGCCTTTAAAATACATTTTACTCTAACAAACCCAGCTCACAGTGCACCTGTACCAGGTATACAGTGTTCTTAATGACGGTTCAGGCGTGTTTGATGCTGCATTACAGCAAAAATGTGTCCAGCTGGGGGTCCCTGGGGGCTGGTTTAAGAAACACAGGTCTACATGCTGACTGACTATGAGTTTTGGGTCAAATGAGTGGATAAAAACCTGGAATTCTCCCTCCAGTCACCTCAACAAAGATGGTAACACTGATCATAATGAGTTTGATGATCATGAGAATGACAGTTATAAACACTCACTCAGTTTGGTTTCAGTAGTGCTGTACTTTAAATACGTCTTCATCCAGTGCTCACAGTCTTCACATCTCTGATCAACACGTCCAGCGTTCCACTCCTCCTCCAACGCTTTAGCCTGGCTGACTGAGGCTGACCATCTCCTCGAGGTCCAGTTATAAGAGATTAAGTTCTGTCCATCGTAGCCGTATTCATTAGTGCAGTTTAACACTGACAGCGAACCACCAGAGTGCTTTTCAACCTCACAGCCGACTCTCCACTGCAGAGTGTGACCATCTGAAACGTAAATGAAGAACAGAGACCAATATAAATGATCAGACACTCTAACATTTCATGTTTTAACAGAATGTGACTGTTTTGTTTGTGTTTGTTAGTAGGTACTTATTTAATGCCACACTTTGTGAGAGTGAAAGGCTCACTACTCTCTCTCTTTTCAGAAACAGTGACAATATATTTGTCTGACAGACTAACATGGTGCATCATCCACTGAGGAGGAAAGACCTCCTGGAGAAGACGACGAGTGCTGTGTTGTAGCGGTTAGCTCATCTGAAGAGGCAGCCTCCAGTACTCATCCAGCACCGAGACACACTGATGTCCCTCAGTGTCCCTCAGCCTTTTTTAATTTTAGCGTGTTGTGACCTACACAAGTAAGACTACAGCTCTATTTTAATGTCGAGGGTCTTTTTTCTTTTTCTTTTACATAGAATATCAGTTAATGGAATATCAGTTAATGGAATATGGGTTAATGGAATATCAGTTAATGGAATATGGGTTAATGGAATATCAGTTAATGGAATATGGGTTAATGGAATATGGGTTAATGGAATATCAGTTAATGGAATATGGGTTAATGGAATATGGGTTAATGGAATATGGGTTAATGGAATATGGGTTAATGGAATATCAGTAATGGAATATGGGTTAATGGAATATGGGTTAATGGAATATGGGTTAATGGAATATGGGTTAATGGAATATCAGTTAATGGAATATCAGTTACTGGAATATCAGTTAATGGAATATGGGTTAATGGAATATCAGTTAATGGAATATGGGTTAATGGAACATGGGTTAATGGAACATGGGTTAATGGAATATGGGTTAATGGAATATGGGTTAATGGAATATCAGTTAATGGAATATGGGTTAATGGAACATCGGTTAATGGAATATGGGTTAATGGAATATGGGTTAATGGAACATGGGTTAATGGAATATGGGTTAATGGAATATGGGTTAATGGAACATCGGTTAATGGAATATGGGTTAATGGAATATGGGTTAATGGAATATCGGTTACTGGAATATCAGTTAATGGAATATGGGTTAATGGAATATGGGTTAATGGAATATGGGTTAATGGAATATCAGTTAATGGAATATGGGTTAATGTAATATGGGTTAATGGAATATCAGTTAATGGAATATGGGTTAATGGAATATGGGTTAATGGAATATGGGTTAATGGAATATCGATTGATGGAATATGGGTTAATGGAATATGGGTTAATGGAATATCAGTTACTGGAATATCAGTTAATGGAATATCAGTTAATGGAATATGGGTTAATGGAATATGGGTTAATGGAATATCAGTTACTGGAATATTAGTTAATGGAATATCAGTTAATGGAATATCAGTTAATGGAATATGGGTTAATGGAATATGGGTTAATGGAATATCAGTTACTGGAATATTAGTTAATGGAATATCAGTTAATGGAATATCGGTTAATGGAATATCGGTTAATGGAATATGGGTTAATGGAATATGGGTTGATTAACTCTTACAGAGAGAACAGCACTAGATCTATCCTAGTCTGGACCCATTTCAATGTGGGGCGTTTCACTGAATTCTGAACATGACACTGAAGTGAATCTTTCAAATGAAGAATGATCATCTAAGCAGAACATAACTGTAAATCTCTCTTTCTCTGCACGAACATCATGGAATTAAAAATAAAAAATAAATTAAAATAGAAAGTTCTCACCTGACTCATTGTGTCTGAAGGCCTTCATCTGTATGTCGAGGATCTTGTTTAAATGTTGTCCATTGTACTTCAGTTTATCAGTGCCTGCTGTCCACTCACTCTCCTTCATCTCCTTCATCCAGTCCTGTTTAGGAGTCCTGACCCCGTCTGTACTGCTGTAGGAGTCAATCTGTCTGTCATCCAGCAGAGTCACTGCACTGAACTCAGAGACTCTGTCTGAAGAGCTTTTAGACTGGACAGTGTAGAGGTAACACAGAGAGTGTTCATCTGTGGAGAAACAGAGAAATGAAAGATTAGATATTAAACAATGACTTGATTACAGAAAATAAGGTACATTGAGGTACATGAGGTACATTTTCAGTTACTTTAGTACAGGAGACATAACTGGTATAAGAGCTGGTCGCTAAGGTGTTGATAGTCGGTTGCTATGGTATAAGAGCTGGTTGCTAAGGGGTCGATAGACGGTTGCTATGGTATACGAGTTGGTTTCTAAGGTGTTGATAGTTGGTTGCTATGGTATAAGAGCTGGTTGCTAAGGTGTTGATAGTCGGTTGCTGGTGTTAAAATTGTAGCAGAGGCCCACCTTAATGGAGGAGAGCAAAGTTCAGTTGAAAGGGGACTCAACTCTAAACAAACAGGCCTAAACCACGACAGATCGTCTCCTCCACTCCCACCACAACATTTTCTCATTTAGATTTGAGAAAAGTCTCTGTTTCCTCTGTTAGAGCAGCTCTGATCTGAACTCACTGATCTGCCCTCCATCTATACCTGCTCCTGATCTGATCAGCTCACTATCAGCTCCTCACTGAGTGACGGAGGGTCTGATACAGCAATGAGAGCTCAAAACTGACGGGTCGACGATCCAGGAACACAGAAAAAACACTGCTGTAGAGAAAACAGGAACTAAACCTGTTTTTTCCCCTCCTGCTCTGCTCTGACTCACTGGAAACATGTCTTGTGGTGTCCCAACACTCCACCAGAGATTCTCTGACATAGGAGGAGATCTAGTTACGGTCATATTATAAGGAATGCCGAGCCTTATCAATACAATTACTAATAAACTTATTAGACTTATTTTTCAAAATGACTATCACTGACTAAAAGAGAGGGTAATGAGTTTGGTAATGAGGTCTGAGGCACCTCTACCCATTCTCAACACCTGATCAGGGATGCTCTTAAGCAGTGAGCTGTAATGTTTTCAGGTTCTACATTTATGGCGGAGCTCCACATTAGTTAAGAGATCACCTTCATCAGTTAGTAAGTGTGCTATCGGCCGTTTCTCTTAGCAAACCAGTCCTGATAAAAACTTTAGAGCAAAACAAAACAAAAGTAGTTTCATGTTCCTCTGCTCTCTGCCCCTCCCCTCAATCAGGAAGTGCTGGGTGCTGACTTCCTGATTAGGGAAACGGGCCATTAACGGCCAGCACTAATTTCCTAAATGAGGGGAGGGGCAGATGGCAGAGGAACGGATAACTGCTGTTGTTTAGTTTATCTCTAAAGTATTGTTTTTCTGGATCCTCATCCTGGTCAGTTTAGCTTCTCTCTGCTCGATCAAACCCTCTTTCACTCTGTAAGGGCTGTTACTGAGCTGATTAGTCAGACCAGGCTTGGCTAATACTTCTAAAACAATTATATTGAATTGACTCTGTTTGCACTGATTGACCAGACTTCTCTAGCAGGTGTTAAACTGACTGGAGGTTAAAGTGTTTGTCTGTAGCACAGATGTTTATGTTGCTTGTATAAAAACATGATTTTTGCAGCTTAAATATTTTTAAAATTATTTTGCAACAACCAAAATGTGTAGGTTGTGCCCCGCTGTCCCCTACTGTGAGAACTGTGGAGGATTTTATATCCTTTATTTAGTCTGGACTCCCACATTGTTGTGTGTGTGATTCCCCCACAGTTCTGGACTCATCTTTGAATTTCAGTCTCAGCAACTAAGACACAGATACAGTGCCACACCTTTCAACGGTCATCTAAAGTCATATGAACGCCTGTGTTTCTGAGGTTAGCAACTGTCTGTAAGGCAATAGCCAGTGTTTACACACTTCTGTTTCTTGTGGATTTCTTTTCAGCCTTCTGTCCCTCCCTCACTCAGGAAGTTTACCGTGCAGGGAGGAAGGGTGCAGTCTGCTTTTTTGCAAGCACAGGAAAAGAGCTCTAACCACAAAAACAGAACACTCGCTCTCGAAATGACTTTTTTGGACATTATGGGGTGGTGAAGACAGTCTGTGTCACTTTACTGTGTGGATTACTTGCTTCTACTCTGGGTCCTCAAGGTGAGTATTTTATTTCAGATGGATGATAAAAGTATAAAATTCATATATTCCCAGTAGTAAACTGTGCTGAATGGAGCAGTATTCTACAGTATAGTCTTTAAGTCATGGGCAGACCAACTATCCACAATTGTTGGTGAACTTCAATTGTAAGTAAAACTAAAACATTCTAAAGTGGTCGTTTCTGATAATGTATTAATAATATATATCAGTTCAGAGTTTAGTGTTTTATGAATGTTAAATTGAACGTGTTTCTTATTGTTGACACATTGAGTAGTTGTGTTTTTTGTATTCTCTAGCCTCGCTGTGTATCATGACTCGTCTCCGATGTCCTCGATTGATGTTGCGCTTCTGACACTCTAATTCTGGAAATTCTGTGACAGTTGCCTAAAAACTGCTACTGTAGATTCACGTTATATTTCAGATGAGCATCAAATGATGGACTCTGAACTGATAACCGTTGAAGTTGACGTATATATAAGTTTTAAATTAAGTTTAAATTGTACACCTCATACGTCGGCAGTATAATATATTCTGAACTGACATCTGCTGGTTTTATGGACTCCTTATTAGAAACGACTAGGGGTGTGAATCTCGAGGCATCTCACGATTCGATTAGATTACGATTCAGAGGCTGTTTTTCTCACTGTGGGGGGTCTTGGTACTTCTAAAGTATTTCTAATAGTCCACGATGCATTTACTTCCAATATCTTTTATTAATAAATCAAATGGAAGTGATTTGTCAAATGAACTAGAAGGCTCTCATTTACTGCGCATGTTACTGTGAAAACGGAATATGGTTTTCCCCTTCAGCTCCATAGAAGCCAAAGTGCTTCCATACACTCGCTCAGGGGTCGGCAAACTGCGGCTGTTTTACTGGCCAAACACAGTTTTAACAGTAAATGGTCTTAAACGCTGGAGTTAATGTAGCGTATAACCACTAGTTCACCTAGTGAGTAGCTAACGAAAAGGCAAAGAGAAAGATCTGAGATGAACATCAATAATTTCGAGACGAATATATGTTTATAATCACTCCTGGTTTCCTGATACATTTTTATCTGCAACGAGGAACTGTTAAACACAAACAAACGTGAAGTCGCTTCTCATTCACCAGCTTGTTTGAATTCACCTGTTCCACCTTAAATGGTGTAGCAGTTACATTCTGGCGCCTCAGTGAATGAGAAGCGACTTCAGCCTCGTAAAGAGTCAAACGTTGAGAAAACATTTTCGCAAAAAACTGATCTACATTTGTGGAAAAGTTTCCGGCTGGAGATGCGAGAAAAGCGGCTACAGCTGAGCTAAAGCTTAAAGCAGAGCAAAGTAAATCTGTGTTTTTGTTTATATAATATTTTTAGCCTGTACTAGAACATCAGCATGTGCTGAGACACATACAGCCAAGATGGTAAATGGACTCAAAATGTTGTGGCTCCTAAGGTGGTTTGATTTTTGTTGAAAGGATAAAGTGACTCTTATTACCATTTGGGTTGCGACTCCTGCACTAGATTTTAATGTACTGTGCTGCCACAGACTGTCCGGGCGCTGCACTTCCACACGTTGCAAAGTTCCACCTTTTGTGTTCCGTCAACATTACGTTATCAATCAAAATGTAGAAAATCAATTTTTGACATTTGTGAATCGACTCAGAATCGTCCACGTCTGGATCACGATGCATCTAAGAATCGATTTTCCCCTCCACCCCTAGAAATGACCATTTATAATGTTTTAACTTTTACTGTTTCTTATAGAATATAAAGAAGAATATATTCTTTATAAAATCTAAAATATTTTAGGATTTTGGCTGCCAATTACTTAAAAATGCAACAGTAAAATAACTTCATAAGTCCACAGTATTGTGAACTTTGAACTGACATCTGTTGGTGTTATGGACTACTTATTAGAAATTACCATTTTATTATGCTTTTAGATTTACTTATAATTAAAAGATGCAGACAATTGTGGGGAAATTGACTAATAATAACTTAAAGACTGTATGATAGAATCACTTCATAATTCATATAAACATAGCATAATAACCTCTGAACTGATATCTCTTGGTTTTATGAACTACATATTAGAAATAACCATTTTATAAGGCTGTGAATTTGAGTTCTGATATGAAGTGAGGTTTTTTCCTCGGGTCTGTAGGTGGCGTGACTCTTAGTGCTCAGTGTGTAGTATTACCACACTCTAGTGTTACGTGCAGCTAGTTTAACCGTGTTTAGGGGAAAGAAAGCTGGCTTAACTGCAGTATTTAGTTCCTGTTTTACCTGATGTTACTACATTTAAACACCACACAGTGTTATATTTTCTGTACTGTGGGGAATCTTTAGGCGTGACTCATCAAAGCTTTAAAAGTTGCCATTCTCGGCCTTTAATAATGACAAACGCCCCATATCAGACTGAACTGAACTGCCTGTCTGAAAAGATTGGCTTTGATAATGCAGTATAATCAGACTCCACATCAGTTTGACCGCTGTGTGCTCATTTACTGACAGTGATCAAACATATAAAATATGAGTCCAACAATACAGTATAATATACTCCTAGTTTATGTCGAAGTCTGACTCGCTAAAAGTGAAACTAACTCCTCAGCTAATACTGTTTTGTGTCTGTGCTGTTATCCGGTGTCGACCAGAGGAGGATGGGTTCCCCTTTTGAGTCTGGTTCCTCTCGAGGTTTCTTTCTCCTGTTGAGGGAGTTTTCCTTGCCACTGTCGCCAAGGCTTGCTCACTGGGGTCGTGGACCAGGTGTTACGGTAAATTCAGTTCTCCCTGTTCCCCCTCATTGCGCATGTCGAAATCATGATGTCTTCAGTCGACGCTCCTCTGGGGGGCTTAGGTGGGCTTAATTCGTTTGTGTTTGTACCGTTATGTCGTCCTGGTCCTCGCTGTAAGCGAATTATCATGTTGTTTGTAAAATGCCTTGTAGTTAAACACGTTTTAAAGTGTAAAATGTGTTGTTAGCAGATGTTTTAATGCTCAAACACTACGTGGGCCATCTTGCCAATGCTAGCTTTGGCTCCGTTTCCAGCTACTCCGAGTAACAGAAGTTAGATTTATTGCGCCATTTCTGATTTAACTACCGCACATGCAGACACATTCTGTAGTTCAGACTTCAGTGGTTTTAAGGTGTACTTATGTCCCACATCCTCATCAGTCTCGCCAAGTTCTGTAAATAGATCTGAAACATTTGTTGCTGAAACAAATAAACTGCATTAAGTTACACAGCACAGTAATTAGTCTGTTATTACTGTTAGACTACGTATCTCAGTGCACCTAGGAAGTTGGTTTCCCTGTAGGTTTTGAGGCTGAAGTCTTACTGTTATGGTACTAATGTGACTCTTTACAGTAACTTTTATTCATATTTTATAATCTTTAGAACTGAGAATACAGGGGGACACAGCTTTAACCAGACACTTTTACACTTTAAAAAGTGTTTAACTACAAGGCATTTTACAAACAACACGATAATTCGCTTACTGCGAGGAATAGGACGACATAACGGTACAAAAACAAACGAATTAAGCCCACCTAAGCCCCCCAGAGGAGCGTCGACTGAAGACGTCATGATTTCGACATGTGCAATGAGGGGGAACAGGGGGAACTGAATTTACCGTAACACCGGATTCTCTGTAAAGCTGCTTTGTGACAACATCTGTTGTAAAAGGCGCCATATAAATAAATTTGACTTGACTAATACAGACGCAGACAGAGAACTTACCTCCAAAAACATCTGGAAGAAAGCAGAACATCAACAGCAGTAAAGACGTATGAAACATCATCAGCATTATTTCAGAGTATATTACAGAGATTAGATCAGTAAACATGAAATACGTCTCGAACTGAAATCCACATTAACTTAGACTTGTTCACTGAGTCGGAATTGTGTTCCGTACCCACCCTGATTTCACCTCCCAAGGACCCTCGGCCAGAGTTAGCAAGTTAGCATGTTTTCATCATCATGCCAGCCAGTACAGTTATATATAAACGTTATGGTTTAATCCAGTTGTGTGTCGCTTAGTTGTGCTTGATTACAAAAGTATTGAAGTTTACAAACAGTCAGGCAAATACGCGTCGACCTATGCCTTTAGAGGGTCCTCCCACAGATGCTGACTGACGGCGGTGAGACGTAAGAGTCATCCAATAACACTGCGAATCGAATGACCGGAAACCAGACGAAGTAAAATCAGAATGGGGAAGTAGGATTGGGCACCACACCGAGGTCTGAGTCGACTCTGATCCAGCTCTTTTAAGTGACCACTGGGGGCCGACTGGGACATGAGAGGAACCGTTTACAGTTTGTGTTTGTTTGTGTAAAAATGTGGACAAACAGATCTGGTGACGCTCTGTCGTCGAAAACTCATCAGTCTTCTTTAAATCTAGTCTGTTAATCAAAGCCAGTGTATCTGTGATCTTAAAGTACACAGTAAAACTTAGATTGGTACTTTATATTCAGCAGGTTTTGTTTGGTTTGTTTGTTGTTTTGGCCGAGGCCTTTCCTGACGTCTGCTGCTGGTGTGAGAATCCACTGTTTGTACTCATATATTAGTACAATAACACAGCTTTAAACATAATAGTTCAGACTAGAGTTTGATTCTCCACACCCACTTCACTGTTACACCTCACTCTTCTCATATTGTTACGGCCTGATAAAGATCGGGTCGCAGCACAGGAACAAGTTCCAATTTGAACAAATGGTTCTATTTAGCAGTTCAGGCAGTCTAAACGTCTACACAGTCTACACACAGTAGACAGTCTAAACCCTACAACACATTCTAGTGTAGAAAAACTGTTACCAGTGTAACCTGGTGGAATTGTATCATGCCTTATAAAGCCTTTATTAAAAAACATACTGCTACTTTTACAAAGTTGTGTGAAAAATACAGACATACAGTGGAGAGAAACTCAACCATGACCTGATATAACTTCACTGAGACACAGACACAAACATACTGCAGTACAGAGGGGGAACAAGTCACTAAGTTACAAGTAACAAGTCTTGACACTCAAGTTCTGAGTCAAGATAGTTGGGTCTCCATTCAAGTCCCGAGTCAGTACAGGCGAGTCTCAAGTCGAGTCCCAAGTCAATAGTCCTAATCTTCGAGTCCTAAACAAGTCAGTCTGCATTCTTCACTAATTTAAAGCCATAACACTGAATGAAGGTAACAGTGCTGTAGCCTTGTAATGACAGCATGTTAGTGGTTTATGACTGTATATTAATATTACATTACATTTTTTACCCTTCCTACAAAATCCATGATGGACAGATAACAGCACTCTTAAAAAGGTTGGTTCTTCAAGGGTTAGAAAGTGTTTCTAAAAACACTCAAAGAACCCTTCGCATGGTTAAAGTGCTCTTTGCATCATGGAGGGTTCTTAACAATGTGCTGTAGATGGTTCGATATAGAACCTTTTTGAAAAGCGTTCTATATAGAACCTAAAGGGTTCTTCTATTGTTACCATGTCAAGCAATAGGAGAGCCCTTTTCAAAAAGGTTCTGTATAGAACCATCTACAGAACATTCTCCGTCAATCTACAGAACCATTTCATGATGCTTTAAACCCTGATAATGCAAAGTGTTCTTCTAGTGTTCGTGGTTCTTTTTAGAACCATTTTCTTTACCAAAGAACCTCTGAAGAACCCCTTTCTTACAGACTATGTGACAGACTTACTGGTACACACAGAGTAGTATTTTGGGGGAACACCGGATTAAAATAAAAACTATCTCAGCACTGAAAGCCGACTAAAAACAACGGTGTTTGAATTGAATTTAAACGACAACGGAAACCAAAACGCGGCTGACAAAGTGACAGAACAGACGTAAAAGATGGTGAACGTACGAAGCTGAATTTTCCGTTCCACCTTAAATGGTGCAGCAGTTACATTCCGGCACCATCTGCACCATTTAAGGTGGACCCACAAGTTCCAGTACGAAGCTGGTGAATAAGTGAACTTCAGCCTCGTGGTGAACGTTTCGCTTGTTTTACCTGCAGAAGCTGTTAAAATCAGCCACACAGAGAGACGCTGGGTTTCTTTTGTTATTTTGTTTTGTGCCATGAGGTAAACGGTCAGTTCACCTGGTCAGTTTCTTATGGAGGTACAGTTGAACTCTAAACGCTTCACTTGTCTTCTGAAATAAAATAAACTGAGCATAAGCTCAGCAGTTTGTTCAGTTTACAGTAGAAAACGAATCCATTCACATGATCAGTAACCGACTGTGTAGCCGTCTGTGTTTGTAGTGACTCTCGTCGTTTCTTCTACTTTCCCGAGTCTTTTAGAGTCTGAAGTCTGAGTCGTTGGTGTACAAGTTAAAGTCGAGTTGCGAGTCTGTCTTGATGTTTTCAAGTCTAAAGTCATCAAATTTGTGACTGGAGTCGGATTCAAGTCCGAGTCATATGACTCGAGTCCACACCTCTGCTACAGTACTACTGAAACTTAGACAAATAAGATAATAATAATAATAATAATAATAATAATATTGCTAGTGTGATATATCTATATATCCATAGACATACAGATCTAAAATCACATTAAGTTTATTAAAACCCATCATACAAGCACACTACAACCTTTAGTTTGGTGAGATCTGCCTTAGTTCAGGGGTTCTCCACCTTATCCACCCCGAGGCCCACCTGTGTATAACTATAAAGCATAGCGGCCCACAGAACAACTAAAACCAACATTTTAATTGTTTTTTTCTTAATTGCTCACAAAGAAAACCTGTGAATTTCACTTCAATCACAGAAACCAAAATATGCAGTTATAACATGTTAATAAACATTTGCTGAGATGTCAAAAAGGGGGAGAAGAAAAAAAGGAGGTGTAGATGTGGATGTGGACTGTGATTTAGAGCTGCAGTCCATCGCGATTTCACTAAAATACTCTTGTGGCTCCCACAGGAGTCACTGTTTAGTCTGGAGTGTCTTTAGTTTGGAGGGTTTTAGCGCCTCATTTGAAATAATCCTCACTCCACCCAGTGGGCTTTTAGATTAGCGTCGCCATAATCAGCGATAATAAACCTTAATCTCTGCTTCTTTATCGTTCGTTTATCAGTTTGAGTTTAACTACTCAGGTCGCTGATGTTCAGCCAGAAATCGAAATGCAGATCTTCGCTGTTTTAAGGCTCGTCTGTCGGTTTTAACAGCAGCCCCGTTTTTTTGGGACGTGTTGTTCAAAATGGGCACATATTTTTCAGAAAACAATAAAACTTCTCAGTTCCAACATTTGAAATGTTGTCTTTGTAGTATTTTCCTTTAAAAATATGATTTACATGATTTACATTTCATTGCATTCTATTTTATTTACGTTCTGCGCAGCGTCCCAACTTTTTTGGAAATGGGGTTGTATGTTAAAAAGTGAAATACTGTTTTAGTGCATCTTAAAACATTGTTTTCTTTTCAGGTCAGTTGGATTCATGGATGCATTCATGAAAGAGGAGCTGAGTGAATGGAAAGCTGAGGATCTTAATCTGAAGTCTGAGTGTAAGTAACCAGTATGAGATGGATTTAAGGGTTTATCACGTTATGATGAAATGAATAGATGAGCCTTTTGGCAATGTAAGCTCTTTGAAAGATATTGGAGTTTAATCCAACCACTTAAAAGGGAACTCCACTGATTTTTTTTTTTCCAAAATTTCTACATGATTCCGTTGTTAATTCTGTAAACAAAGTCATTCAGAGTGGTTTGGTGTTCTGGGGAAACTTACTGAGTCTGGGATGAACTCTAGTGATAGCACAGACAGGGCAGGCAAGGAAAGTGTAAGAGTGTTTTTAGCTACACTCACAGTTAGCCATGCTTTTCTCTTGAACTTCTCTGGATTGAAGGAGCAGTTTTTGTCCTTTCCAGACTGAATGATGTTGAAATGCTCTGGCTGGTGTGTCCCAAACGTTTAATCTCTAATTTCTGCCGTAATAACTGGAACCAAATTTAACTTTCATTATATTTTGACTGATTATAGTGCCCTGCTATTAGGAACAGCTACCACAACTGATGAGAAACAATGGCTAGCTGATTAGCAACACCCACACCGTAAACAATGTTACTAAATGTCTGGATGTATGTAAATGTACTACTTTCTGTTGGCTGCTCTCAGCATAGGGCCAACGTGATCGCCCCCACAGCTGGTTACTGAAAGCGTGTTGAACATGTGCAGAGTGTTTTTAACTGCTCACTTGGTTAGACGAGCGCTGACGGCCCCACGCTCACCAAACCAAGACTGACAGGAGAAATAGGGAGCCTACTGGCCTTTACACAGCAGGTACAGGAAGATATTTGGAATGTATCGACAGACCCACCATAGTCATATAATAAACTGCGCCACAATGTTAATTACTAAGAAAAAAAATATATAAGTTGTTATTCTGAATTATTAATCATGTCATGCTCCACAGCGACACACTGGGCCAGGCCCCACAGCCCCCAATGTAGAGGCGCCACTGGAGCAGTGGTTCCCAACTTTGATCCTGAGTAGCCCTGCCTATTTGTGTCTTCCTGCTTCGACAGACCCACTTCAGCTCAGGAAATCCCTGTTTATTAACTAATTAGCTGATTGAAGTTCGTTACAGCAGAGAAAACACTGAAATAAGGCGTCCTTTACAACACAGTCCTCCACTGATATCAGGACTATTGGCAAGAAAGCAAATACTGTACTTCTCTGACGAACACTGTGTTCTTATCAGTGTTTGTATCACAGCGATTACGTTATGCTGTAATTTTGTAGTTTATAATTTAAGACGGTACGTGAGTGTGTGACACACACAGACTGACTTTCCATTCGTTTTTCCCCTCCTTTCTCTGTTTGTCATCCACTTCATGAAAATGTATGACAGTCAAATGATAATGTGGTCATCCTGAACAACACTACCCATGATGCAGTGTTCTGTAGGTGTTTTAAAGTCTGGGATACCGTCAGAATGAAATTACAGAAGGAAGTGTTGGAGCATATGGCTACACTGCAATGACAACATTTCTAAAGCTCTGCTTACTTCATGGTGCATTTATAATCTTTAATATGTGTTTATTACTGTTTACACGCTTAATCATCAATGACAGAACTGCTGTGGCTAATGGGGCTTTGGGCCTGATAGAGATATTAGAATCTGATCATCTTAATAAGAGAATCCACGTTTGAAGTACTGTGAACATAATTCTCTACAGACGATCAGCTACTAAAACCAATATCAGGCCCATAATTCCATTCTAACATTTGTTGACAAACAGTATATCAGCCACTGATCTCATGTAACCCTAATAATTTTCACATTAGCATTCGGTTGATATGATTTTAAACCATCTATATTGGCATTCGTAATGAAATGCATAACCTCAACCAGCACTTCTGCTAAAGCACCCTTTCATCTCTTTCTCTCTTTTGAATCTGTCTTAGTTGAAGAGATTGATAAGCAGAGCGTCCTTATATTGGACGATGCTCCCACTGGCAGCGCTGGGTCCTGTAATAGGTCTGAGGCTGAAGTTAAAGTAGAATGAGGTAAGGTGGCCGAATTCACGTGGAGTGAACCTGTTTTAAATGTACGACTGCTGGGTGTAATATTGGTCATCTGTTTGCCCACGTCAGTGTCACTGCAGTGCTGAGAGTGACCCACCACCCAAATAGTACCTGCTCTGTGAGGGTCCATGGGGGTCCTCACCACTGAAGAACAGGGTAACACAGTATCAGAGAAACAGATGGACTACAGTCTGTAACTGTAGAACTACAGAGTGAAACTATATGGTCAGTGGAGCTGATAAGATGGACAGTAAGTGTAGAAACATGGAGGTGGACTTGTGTGTGTGTTTGTGTAAAAACACAATGTTCTGCCACTATAAAATAACTGATGCTGTGTTTGTTTGTATTCACCACAGGTTGGTTCTAATATGGTGGAGTTCCTGTCTCAGACAAAAGTCAGCAGACCTGATCCATTAGTTTCAGCTGTAGCAGATGATCCGTCTTTTGCCGTCTTTAACAGACGAGCTGTGGAGCAGAGCGGACGTGTTGGAGCGGCTGACGTCTGTTTCAAGGCATTCTTTGTACGTTGTAATGTTGAAATTGTAACTGGGAATCCAGTGCTGACAAATGTTTGTCATTCTTAAATGCACTGCTGGTGTTTGCAGTTATCAGAAGTGTTAATTGTGATATTTTACTGATGTTAATTGTAAAATGGATGGTAAATAACATTTGAATATGAATATATAATTATTATTTATACATTGTTTTATATATGCAGTATTTCCCATGTTACACTCAGTGGATTTTATGTAATTAATATGCTCTGTATATAAATATATAAATAAATCACTACATTTTGGTGGTTAAAAGTGATGTTTCATTTTTATGAATAGTTATTCAAATTTAGCAACCGAAGAAAACAACCCAGCCTTTGGTTCATTTAACCCAGCAATACAGTAAAAAGTACACAGCTGTTGGGTGAATTGCTTGACCCAAAAAGCTGAGTCAGAATAATAACCCAAGATGCTGGGTCAGTCCTACCCAGTGCTGTTTGTCCAATATTGACCCAGCACTGGGTTATGAAAATGACTCCATCTTTTTTATTGTAACACACGTCACACAGATCTAAAATCACTTACAGTGTACAGAGGGACATATTACAAACTACAGACTTTGGTTTGGCAAGGCTCGCCTCGATTGAATTGTCAAAAAATATTTCACTAAAATACGACCAAAGCAAAACTACAGCGTTTTGGGTTTTCTCTGTTCACTACTGAGTCATTTTAGATCCGTATTAGGCTCAGTCCAACACTCAGTCATCAGAGCCCGGGGTCAGTACACAAGTAAACAAGGACAAAACAGAAAAAGGGTCAAAACATGAGATATTACAGAACAAGAAGAAGGAACATGGCTGATAAATGCACTGTGGAAACTACAAGACTTCAAAAGTCAGTAGACCAAACAATCAGGAAGACAGTACTGTGCAGAAGCCACAGACATTTAGACAAAAGGTTCAAAATCATTTGTCTTGGCTGTGAGTGTGTTTTTGCTTGGTGAAACACCCTGTAACTGTAGAATAAATACACTGATACAGTAAATATGTGACTAGGATTCCTTATATTTAATATTTTTAAATATTAAATATATATTAAACATATTTCTTGGCATTTTCATCTTGTTTTAGGTATTTTATTATGTAAAATTATCTCCCTATTGGCAGATCATGTTTAAGGAAATAATGCTTGAAACAAGCAAAAGTATGAGCCGGTTTAGTGAGAGAATTTTAAACATATATTAAAAATGTCTGTATATTTAGGAAGAGATTATTGAATCAACACATACAGTTTATCTCATTTGTATTTTTCATGGGGGGCTTAGGTGGCTGCCTACCTTTCCCTAGAGCAGAGACTGCTCCAGAGAAAACGTTTGAAGAAGGCTGTGAAGTTTTACCCGTTTCCTAAATCAAAGACACAACAGAAGAAGTGCAGGATGTGGATCAAACAGTGTGGAACACCGTATTATCAGTTAAACCTGAGGAAAAAACACTGAGCATGACTGGTGTGTGGCTGCGTCAGATAACCAGCACGTCTGTCTGGCTTTCAAGTGTTCTTCATTAACTCTCTGGATTTAGTGTCATATGTAGCAGAAATAAACAATAAGATTAAATTAACATGAAGGAGCCCACAGGCCGTCTACTAGCCTACTGTACAAGTGTGTGTTACAGAATGTGTCAGAGTGTAAGTGTACTAGAGCTACAGTACTACATTAGTGTTTATGGGCACAGCATGGCCTTTCATATGTTGTAGAATATTGCCTGGGGTGGCCTTAGTTATGGCAACATGAGAATAAGAACTCCATTCAGGTTCAGGTGAAGAAGAACAGCGCAAGAACTGAGAGTCTCCACCAGAGCAGGTTTAAGGGGAGTCTGGTCACTTCTTACTTTTCCCATTGTATCAAAAAACATTACTGCTGAACACTAGAGGGCGCCCACGGAGGGAATCTTGAATAAATAGGGGATGTTGGCACTAAATGGCTAAATAAATAAATACATAAACTTATTTTAACCGTTTGTGCTGGACCTTCCTTTATTTTTGGTAAGTATTAGAATGTAGCACATGAAAAATCAAAGGAAACCCACCTATTTCTATTTTTCTAGAGAAAACAGGAAAACAGGGTCTTTTTTCTCCCGACTCAGCAACGATACTTCTTTTAACTAAAAGTGTAATGACTTCCTTACTAGAAAACACAGCATCGACCAGCATATGTGTGTTTTGATGCTGGTATGCTGGTCCACCATCATGACCAAGATGGTCATAACCAGCTAAAACTAGCACCAGAGAAGCTTAAACCAGTTTAAACCAGCATGCTGGTCTGTGCTGTGTTTTTCCTCAGGGTTTGTAAAAGCTCTTAGTGTGTAGAAAATGATCACGAAGAGTCAAGTAGATTTCTTTATTTTGACTTTTGCTCCCATATATGTACTTATGTAGTGTAAACAATACATTAAAACAGTACATCGAAACCTGTTTTGCACACATTGCTGATATTTTCCTGTGATCACTCAGTTGTTTTATTTCTGTTTCATAAACCAGAGAGTTCTGGTTACCTAACTGTCCACATCAGGACACTTTGGTCTGCAGTGACATTAAAGATCAATAACTGAGTTTAGCTTGAGCTCAGATAGAAACACAATAAAGACTCTCATTAAAAGACAAATCAGTCACTTCAGCTTCATATTCAGACAAATACGCACCATATAAACCCCCAAACACAGTACAGAGAGGCGGATTTAGTGTGACTCCAGACTGGATTAAGGCAGGACTGCAGTTAAACTGTCAAACATTTACCCAAAACAATCACTGAGCAACAGTTTAACTTCAGGTTCAAGTTTAAAGATCCTGTTTAGATTAAAAAGTACATTAACCTTCATACAAAACCAGAGACACAAAGAATTACCCACTGGATAATACAAAAACAAACAAACAAACAAAACACATCATCAAAACAACAGTAAATTCACAGGACAAGGCCACAGCTCTGAACATGTGATAGACAATACACACAAAATACATAAGAATACAAGTAAAACAGCAATAAATAAATAAATAAATAAAGTAAAAATAAATCAGATGAATCTTATTATTTCATATTGTTTCATATTCAAAACTTTACAAATCCTTAACATTTTGATTGTTTTTGCATTTTTAACTTTGTTTAAAAGATTTAAGTAATGATTAAATTCTAATTTGAAAAAGATAAATTTTAGTTTCACATTTGACCGTCTGCTTTTATATATGTAATATTTACAATAATATCTGAGAAGACTAGAAAAGAAAGATTTGCCAATTGTGCTCTCTCGGACTCCCGGCTACGGACGGCTGTAGCAGTAAATTAAAGAGACAGTGGCCACATTTCACCTCAGTCAATCACGTTGACCTGCCGTCTCCAGAAGCAGTAAGAAAGTGCTGAAATTTGATAGATCTACCAACATGCACTGTGTGATCGACGTATCGGGCACCTCTGCTGTGTAGCTGACAGTAATGTTGATGCAAAGTTACAGTGATTATTATAATATAGAATTATTATAGTGATGGTTAAAGTGATGAGAACTTCAGTTCACTTTAATCTGAGCACTTCATCAGTTTCAGTCAATCTAACCTCAGATTAAGGGATGAGGATGATGATGATTTGCTAATACTTTATTGAGGAGCAGAGTTCATAAGGCCTCATGACAGCTGACATAACCCACATGAACATTTATTTCAGTTGTCATTTCACCCAAAAAACTGTAACGACACCCCAATGTCTGAAATACACAGTGCCACCTGTCATGGGTGTTATGATGATGTTGAGACTGGACCTGAGCAGGGGCCTGGGGGGGAGGAGGAACAGAGATGGAAGGAGAGAGAGGGATGAAGTGAGGAAAAAGGCAAGAAGAAGGTGAGGACATTGAAATACGGACCTCCAACTGCTCCCTGTGCTGTTCAGCCTCCTGAAGCAGGTCCAGCCTGTGGAGGAGAGCCTGGATGACATCATCACATCAGACTGAAGCCCAGAGACGCGAGAAGGTGATTTAAGTTGAGGTGCTGATATGTTAAGTAGTGTATATGTGACCTGAACTCTGACGTTACGCTCTTTTCTATGTTTTTATATCAGAACGAGTCAAGCAGTGCTATAATGATAAAGGATACCTATAACTGACACATCAAACCCCTGACGCACATCCTCTCTCTGCTCTCTCATTCTGGATGAACTTTATGGAAATGAGCTGAGTGGTGACCAATCAGACTGTTGATATGTGTTACAGCCTCAGTCACACACTGAGATTTAACACTGGACCACACAGAGCAGGAGATGTAACGACTGATAGATCATCATCAATACATCATTTAAAAGTTACAATAATACCATAAGGCTGCTTTGACCTCTGACAACAACACGTTTTAGAATGAACTTTTGGTTTGGAAATGGTGGGGAAAAAAATCAAAAATCTAATTTTCAGACATTCGTTATTATTTACTAAAATGATTTTTACCCTTAACCCCTTACATGACTGATATTTTGGACTGTAATGGTTTGTCTCTGCCTCATTATGTATTTATCAGCAAATTTCACTCAACAACATCAGGAAGGGATGATTAAGGTTTGTAATGCTGCCAGCTCTTCTGCATTTAATCAGAAACCCACTGAAATATTACAACAGGCCGTATTCATTATCTGCACTCTTAGTACATGACTTACTCATTTCTGATGAGAAGATGATAATAAATTCATCCGTTATGTTATTCATAGCAGGATTTTTGGTGATTACAGTGTGGAACTAGAAGCAAAGGTTATGAGGTGAATGTTATACCATTGAAAAAGGCCTTTTCTTATCATTAATCTTCTCCTATAACACCTAAAGAACCAGCTAAAGAAACACATTTAAACGGCAGATGTTAATCTAGCTATGATTATGGGTCAATACCATATCCACGTCTGTGAATAAGAGCATCACCCCCTCCTTTGCCTTCTTTCTGAATGATTTTGTTGGGTATTTCAGTTCACTAGAATGTATTAGGCCTAATAATAAAACTGATAAACTATTTAGAAAAATGTCCCAATTCCTGGAAATATGAGTGTTAAAAGCCTCTGTCAGTCATCGTCTGCATATGTTGCTTGTTTAAAAATTGTGAATCCCTCTTTATTGTAACACATTTATTTCCATTTATTTGTTTGTTTGTTTGTTTGTTTATCCCTCTTGTTTTGTTTGTATCTGTCTCTGTATGTGACAGTAAATGACGTTGAGGTTCTTGTTCATTCATACGTCCCTGACTTGTTATTATAAATGATGATTTAAAGGTAAGAATAAAAAATGTACACAGTGAAATGA